ATTATTTCAGCTACTCTGGAGGCTGAGACAGGAGGATCAGCCTGGACAACTTGTCTCAAATCAAAACAAAAAGTCAGTGGCATCACACCTGCCTGGGAAGTACAAGGTCCTGAGTTTGATCCCTGGTGTGAAAAAAAAAAAAATCTGGGGACATAGCTCGGCTCTTGAGCACCTGCCTGCCCAAGAAGCACAAGGCCCTGGGTTCAATAACTAGTACCAAAAATAAACAAGTAAAAATAAATTGGAGGATCACTGCACTGCTCTTAGTCAAGTGCATGAAGGGAGGAGTCCTATAGCAGGTACAGCATATCCTAAGGTCAAGAAGGCCAGAACAGAAATAGCAGAGCACCAGGTCTTAGTTAACTGCTTTGACTGACAAGGAATCTCCTTGAAATTCCAGGAAAAAGCAGCCTCAAAGGAAAAAAAAAGAAAAAAAGGCTTCAGATTATCTGAGACCTCAGTTTTATCATCTGTGAAATGAAGCGACCACACCTGATCTTAAAAGGCTGAGGCTCCCAAAGCAGATGACTCAATCTGAAACCCAACACACACAAAAAGCAGTATCTGCTCATCTGCTGACTGGGGAAGCACTGAGGAATTGCTCAGTGCCTGTAGGCTACCATCACATGATGCTGCCTGTCATCTTGCAGTAAATCTAGCCTTTGGCATAGCAATCAGCATTTTCAAAAGAATTTGTTGCAGTAGAGGAAATTGCACAAGTACAAAAAGCTGGCCATGATGCTGCTCCTTTGCAGTGCTGTTCATCGAAGCAAAATACCAAAAATACTATGTGTCATTGATTGGAATGAAATTATATGTACCACTACCCTCTTAGATAATTTGCAGGGAAAAAAATCCTAGCTGAGAGAATGAAGATTGAAAAGATACAGCAATCTCAACTGCAGTCTAAAACTTTATGCCCTAATAAAATGTAAGCTACCAGTTCATTCCCTTAAATTGGTTTTGGGAAACCTTTGGAAGGGTGTGGGATCAACATAGTAACTCAGAATGAGGGGTAAGGAAGTATGAGGAGCGGAGGACTCTGGGAGCTGCCATAGCCACTTCCTGTGCCCATCTACCTCTTGGCAAAAAGGGAGCACACCAGGCCTGTGTCCTTCTCCAAGTGTCTAAGGATAAAAAGGAACCAATATTCTCAAGAGCCAACCCTGGACCTCTGCATTACCCCACAGTATGACCCACACATTGCTAAGGTTCAACTCAAACCATCTATACCAGATGCAGCAAGCACATTCATTCAAACTGAGAGCAACCTTGATACGTCATCCAAAATGCCAAGCTGCCAAATGTCCTATCCTGTTATACAGGACTCTGCACTGCTGGGAATTCACCCAGACTCCTGTGGAGCAAGGGTGGTCTCTATAGCCCTGCTGGTCAGAGAAAAAGCTGCAAAGTGGCCACTGCTATTTTAGAGAACTGAACCTTGCAGCCAACAGGGAACACCACTAGGACTAACAAGAGCAAGAAAGTTATTGTTATGGTAAAACAAGCAAGCAAGCCTGCATAATACAACAGGGTTGGTAATGTCAGCATATAGGTTATGGCATAGCTCTCTGGCATTTTTTTCTCTTATGGTAAAACATTCTCAGGAGGGTGACCCTGAATTCACAGCAATCCTCCTGCCTCAGCCAACCAAATGCTGGAATTTCAGGCATGCACCACCACACCCAGCAGAAATCTAGTACTTTCCCAAGGAGAAGTCAGACATTTAAAATGGCCTAGTATGTCCCAACCCCACCTGACATAAATTACCAAAAGAAAAATATCAAAATAAGGCCTACAAGAGCTGGATGTGGTAGCACCCACCTTAATCCCAGCACTCAGGAGGCTGAGGCAGGAGGATCACCAGCCTGGGCTACATTCCGAATTTAAAGCCAGCCTGAGCTATACAGTGAGAGCATGTATTTAAAAATATATATTTTTTTAATATTGCAGGTAAGGGAATGGCTTGCTGCAATTAGCTAAAAACAAAATCCAGGATGACTCACAATAACCACCTTTTTAAAACTGGCCATATTGCCTGGAGAGAAGTTCAGATCCACCTATCTCAACACAGCTGCTGAAGCAGGCTGCACACAATAAAGTAGCATTAGCACGGACTTGTGCCTCAGCCTCTTGACCTGTCAGTTCTGTGGGTTTGAGCCTGGTGGAGGAAGTGGCCTAATAAAGGGATTTGCAAGAGTATTTCACTGAAGACTCCACTCTTTGTTACGTGGCTTCTCCACCTCTGTTCTGTGCTCATAATTCAGCAAAAAAAACCCTAGGACACAGGTGAGAATTGCAACATTCCCCAAGTGTGTTGTGGTAAAAGCTAGGGCTCAACACTTTGAAGTGCAACTTTTGGTCAGGGCCCAGATGACTCCTGCTCATATATATCTTCTAGGGTGGCTGTGGGGGCTAAGGGCAGGTAGACACCCATTTTCACCACAGCCATCTTTTCTCTGGAAGAGGGGTCCTGCAGTTGGCTGGCAAGATGCCCTTTCAGTAACCTTCCACCTCCAAACAACTCTCATCCAGGTATTGGGTGATGTTGGCTAGACTTCAGGAACCATGCTAGGCACTTGAGATTCAGGTAGCCAAACAGGTGGGATTGAAGAGTGGTTACATTTGATCAGTGGATACTGCATGTATGGAATACCATTCATTCATACAATGAATGTGTCCATTTAAAAATTATTTTTAAGCCGGGCGTGGTGGCGCACGCTTGTAATCCCAGCACTCAGGAGGCTGAGGCAGGAGGATCGCTGTGAGTTCAAGACCAGCCTGGGCTATATATAGTGAGTTCCAGGTCAGTCTCAACTACATAGTGAGACCCTGTCTCAAAAAACCAAAAACAAAAAACAAAACAAAAATAATAATAAAAATAATTTTTAAGAAGGTGGGCAAAGACGAGGCATCCTTATGGAGCTGCCAAGAAGGTAAGGACTGAGTGGTCACAGAAAAGAAAGACTAAATTAACAAAGTATGCCCAAGCCCAAAACCTACACTGCTCTTACATTATAGACAGGAGCATTAAGAGAGCAAGACTTTTGTAAACACCTGTATGTATTTGCTCAGGATTTGTCTACGTCTTGTGCACTGCCCTCCACACTGCACAAGACAGCCCACAACTGCCAGCAGCACCTGCCTATTCAGGGATCTACCTACTTAGTTAACACTCCATATCCTACCTCACTGCCACCAAAGCTGTTCTCTTCAGCTCAGTCAGAAGCAATGCCCACTGTTACACCTTTAGATGTTGCACAGACCACAGGCATGAAGCCAGAATGCCAGCACACACTGCCCAAGAAGGTACCATCCCATCCCCAGTCGCTGGAGCCCAGTGAACAGCCTGGGTGTCTGCCTCAGCTCTGGGGTAAGCACAGCAAATGCGCACACTTGCATGCTTACAACAAGAAGCAAATGTTGATTACTTGAGATGGTGGGGCTTCACAGGGGCTGAGAAAAAGTTAGACCTTCCTCTCCCAAACCCCTTCCAGACTTTTTTCAGACAGCCTCCACCCAGCCCAAGTCCAGGACAAAAACCCAGGAGAGGCTATACAGTGGGCCAAAAGGAGAACAACTAGGTCAGATTTTTAAGATCTCTAGTCCCCAGGACCCTTTTCCTGAAGCCAGGCCAGGCCTATAGTTCTCAGGCAGGGCACTGGAAAGTTCCTCTAGTCTAGACCTAAAACTTGGCAGCACAGAACTTTTATTGTGAGACCAAAGACAAATTCAATTCACTGCACACCAAAAATGTTCATCAGCTTTTTGGGGAGGCAGTGCTAGGGAAGGAACGCATGACACTGAGCTCTTATCTAAATCCCATAAACAGTGGGTCCATCTCAAATAGAGGTAGATGTTTAAAAATTAAATTTTAAAAATAAAACCAGAAAGGGTGGAGATTTAGCTCAGTGGTTCCGGCGCCCGCCTCGTAAACTGGCAAGGGCCAGAGTTTGATCCCTAGTACCAAAAAAAAAAAATAAAACCAGAAAATAATAAATGTTGGACACAGGCACGATGGTGCGGCCTGTAATCCCAGCACCCTGGGAGCCTGAGACAGGATTGCCAAGTTCAAGCCTGGCCTGGGTAACTTAGATCCTGCTTCGAAACTTTAAAAAAAAAAAAAAAAAAGCTGGGGATTTAGCATAGTACAAATACCCTGTGCTTCATCCCTAGTACTGAAATAAATCAATATTGAAAGTGGCAACGCAGCTCTGTGGTAAAGCAGTTGCATAGCATGTTCAGGCCCTGGGTTCAATCCCCAATCAATCAATCAACCAACCAAGAAGAGTAGAATGCTCTTTGGTGAGTTCAAGAACAGGCTGACTACACAGTGAGATTCCGGCTCAAAGAAAGCAATGATCTAGGCATAGAAATACTGGCCTAGGGCTAGGAATGCAGCAAGTGCCTAGCAAGAGTGAGGCTCTGAGTTAGAGTCCCCAATACCAAAAAACTAAACAAGGGCTGGGTGATTTAGCTCAGTGGTTTTGCCGCCTGCTTCGCAGGCACAAGGTCCTGAGTTCAAAACCCCAGTACCAAAAAAAGAAACAAAAACAAAGAAACTAACACTCAGGAGGCTGAGGAAGTTCAGGGCCAGACTGGTCAACAGTAAGATCCTGTCAGAAACAAAACAAAGTAAGACCAAAGTCCTTGCCACTCTACATTACTTAGATCATGTTCCTTTTCATAGGAGTATTGCCTAGTTCTGCCTTGAGTTGTTCTCCTTTTCTAGAAGAACTTGAGAAGCCCCAAAATGGCAAAACAGTGATTACCATGAGATGGTGAGATTATAAGAAACATCCAAACCTCTGAAGACTTTAATATTTGAATTTTTACTCATATAAAAAAGATGGGGAAGGGGGGACTAGATGCGGTGGCACAAACGTATAATCCCAAGTACTGGAAAGGCTGAGGCAGGAAGAGCAAAAGTGACTCCCTGTCTCTAAATAAAAATTAGAAAAGGGCTGGGCATGTAACTCAGTGGTTCAGGGCTCACCTACCTTGTGGGAAGTCCTGGGTTCCATCTCCAGAAGCAGAAAAAATAGGCAGGTGAGTGAGGGTATGGGGCAGTATAGTGCTTGCCTGCCACTGAGGTTCTTCTGGGTCAATCCCTAGCACTAAAACAAAGTAGAAACAAATGTTTTTGCCCAGTGTTGGGGATCATCAAGCCAAGGTCCTCATACACGCTAGCCAAGCCCTCCACTGCTGAACAAATCACCAGGCCATAAACATTTTTTTTAAAAAATCTCGGGGTCGGGGATTTAGCCCAGTAGTGCCACCGCCTGTCTCACAAATGCAAGGTTTGAGCCCTGTACCAAAAAATAAAAACTCAGCCACATATGGTGGCACAAGCCTCTAGTCACAGCACTCAGGAGAAACTGAGGCAAAATTCTGGATTGCTGTGAGTCAGGAGGCCAGCCTGGGCTACATAGTGAGTTCAAGAAAACCCTAAACTACACAGTGAGACCCTATTTCAAAACAAAAAAATCAAATAAATAAATAGAGTGATCGGGAATGTAAAAACTCTGGCTCCTTTGGTCTGTTAGCTTTGGCCACCTCAGACACCACAAATAATGAATGTGCTCTTCCTACTTAGGGGTCCCCCAACCCCAGATAATTTTGTGAGTGAGTTTAGCAAAATCTGCTAAGCTAAAAGGCCCCAAATTCCATTCGGTCCTCCTAGCAACCATGTTGGGTAGAGGCATACTTGTACCCACTTCACAGATGGGAAGCAATCTGCATTTACTACAGCCACCCCATGTGTAGGCTTCCTCTATTTGCCGGGCCACTCTAGCCAGGGCCAGACCCATGAGAGTCTCTGCACAGGGCCTCTACCCCTCTGGAAAGAAAAATGTTGGGCTGCCATGGTGAAGGGTGGATACTCGTTCTGAAAAGTGCTCACCACCATGGAGTGGAAGAAGTGACTTGGTCTCTCAGATCCTCAGTTGCATCATCTGTAAAAGCACCCTGTGACAGCATCACAAGATAGAAGTCAGCCCAGTACCTTGGCAGAAGCATGGTATGCAAATGAAATGAGGAATTCCACACTTCAGCCCATGGTTCACCATCAACCTGGAAATGAGCCAGACTGTTATGATATCAAATTTAAAAACCTCACTCAAAGGAACACACCTGGGCCAAGGTCCTGCACAGAAAACAGATTAGGGGAGAAAAGAGCACTGCCCACATTATAGGACCCAAGAAGTTTTTCTGATTTAGCAAGGAAGGTCTCACATGAAATTGGGAGGTTCCTGAGCCTGGAGATGGTGTAGCCAGCTTGGAAGCTTGCCAGGACAAAGGAATCCCAAGGTCATTGTTCCCTGGGGAAGGTGTCCAAGCCGCCTTTGGAGGCTAGGGATATAGCTCAAGGATAAAGTTCTTGCCTAGTATTCAAGAGGCCCTGGGTTCCATCTCCAGCACTACAAGAAAAAGGAAAAAAAAAATGGAAGCAGGTCTCTGGGGCAACAATGAGGGGTGACAAGCTTCTCTAGGTCACTGGACCCACGTGGCAGGAAGATAAGTCAGGGAAGCAGCTTCCCCAACCCAACCTTGCTCCTCCCCTTCAGCCCCCTGCAGGGCCAAGATCCTCTCCTCCCCTCCCCCAACCATCAAAAGGGGTAGGAGTTATGCCTATAGCTTAAAGGAGGATGTGGCTGGCCTCAGCCCTGGCCTCTTTGTCTCAGTCCTCTTTACTCCAATGCGGGAAGAAGTACAGGACCTCAGTTCTGCAACTACAACTTTCCGTGGGCCCCAAGCTGGGAACTGGAAGTGGGGGGAGTGTAAAATGGTCTCAACCCATTAAAAAACTGAGGCTCCTTTCAAAATGGAACAAAAGCGGTCCTTCCTGACAATCTCCCCAGTCATGGACAATGATGATTTGGAAAAGCTTTCATAGCTGGGGACTATCTTAGGTAAGGTAAGAGAAGCAGGAGTCGGCAGAAGTCCCTCTTCCATCCTCAATTCTCATAAGGCCATCCTTTAAAAATGGGCCAGCGGGATAGTGGTTAATTAATACTGACATTAATATTCACTACGTACCAACTCCACAGAAGGCACTGTTCCTTAGACTTGTTATTCAAGCCAAAGTATATTACATCTAGATGTCTGAGGAAGATGGGAGGGCTGAATAAGTTAAAATTATATATAAAACTGGCTTCATTCTTACAGTTTTTCCTATTTCACATTTGTATTAACTAAGGCACAGAGAGGACAATAACTTGGAAACAGGATTTAAACACACGACCCTAGCCCATGTGATAGCTAATGAAGCTAATGAATTGCAAGCTTTTATTGAGTGCTTACTGTATTCCAACCCTATTAAAGCAGATACCACCTTGGGGCTGTGGGTGTGTTATCATTGGTAGCTCTTGCCTTATAGGAGGCTCTGGGCATGATCCTTGGCACCGCAAAAAAATAAAATAGGCATCACTTCAGCTTTGAAAAATAATGTCTGCACCTGGGGCTTCCAAGGTCCTGCAAACCAGAAGTCCAGCAGGTCTGGTGGAGGAGGGCAGAGGAAGGTCAGCGTTAGGAACCCCTTAAGTGATGGCCCCAGCAGGAGCTGTCTCCCAAAAACAATTGCCACCAGTCTGCCAAAACCCACAACATCCAGAACTCCGGGGGTAGTTCAAAGTTCATACCCTGCCCTTAATTCCCTTTAATTCATACACCTCTCGGCGTGGGGGGAGGGGGAAGTACAGGGGCCCCTGGAGCCTCGGCCCCAGGACAGCAGACCGGGAAGGTGGGAGGGAGACGGAGGCACAGGCACGCGGAGGCCCAGGACTCCAGCTACAGGTGAGGCTCCCGCGGGAACCTGCGCCCCAGGGCAGCCCTCCCTCGCTAGCTCGCCCACTCTCCACTTTCTCCACCTCCACTTTCTCCCCTGTAACGCAAGGCTGTAAAAACGCCCCCAAACAATCCACACGGGTACCGATGTTCGTCTTCTGGGGGTGCTGGGTGAGTTCTAAGACTTCAGTGAATGAATTTTTTTTTTTTTTTT